AGAGGAAAACAGGAAGTCGAAGACATTTAACAGTGGACCTGTAGTTTCAAGCCACAGTTGTAGCAGTAGCTAATTTCCCATTCACCAGCTCTGAAGTTAAGTGTAGCGACACAGCTGGCTGGTTTCAGGTATTATAGCTTCTCACTCGGAAATGGGAGATGATGGGAACCATTCATTCATACAGCCCATGAGAAGAGTTGATCTTCATACAACCTGTAGGGTGCTCCCTGCAAATGGGGTCAATTCTGCATTCAAAACAGGCTGGTAATAGAAAGTAATGACCAGTGCAAGTCAGTAGGACCTACATAGTAGATACCTACTATGTATCTCTATGACCCTTGGAATGGGGCTAGTTTGTGAAAGAATACTAATCAGCCTGGAACAGAAGGGGAGGTTGGGGATGGGAGTAAAGAGAAAGGAGAGTCTCTGAGTTGAGGTTGAGGGATGCTGGAAAATAGCAACAAGTCCCTTGAGAAAAACAACAGACAGAGGCCTAAGGATCCCCTCCACCCCAAACCAGATGGCAAATGAAGTGGGCCAATAATCTGGGGCCAAAATTATAGTGCAAGGCCCAAAGCCACAGGCCACATGGAAGATTGAGAGAAGCTCAGGTCAGAACAAGGGCACTGTCTAGCCACGATTGTGATGGAGGTAGCTACATAATTTCTACCAGAAGTCAGTGTGTGCGAAAGCCTGAGCCCCGAAAGAGAAAAAGACTTTTCTTGCCAGGAGTGATATTAAGGGCAATGGTTCCACTCTGGATGGATGGTGATGGAGGCAGGTGTGTGTGGTGTGCGAGTAGGCACTGCACAGAGGTGAAAGCTTGTTATGGGAGAGCAGTGTCGGAGAGTATCACAAAGGAACTGCTAAGTGCTTCAGGCCTATACAAAGCTAAGTATCATGACTGTACTTGTGCCAATTTGAGTGTTTATAGTGTTTGTAATTTGTGCTTGAAGAGAAGGTTCAAGGAGGGCATGAGACATGTGTTCAAGATGTGAAGGGCTATTATATGAAAGAGGAATTAGATTTGCTGTATGGGCTTCCAGAGCATTCAGTGCTAGTGTTCCACAAGGGCATAATGATAGAAAGGGAGATTAGCATGATTTTTCTTCCTATATGTAGACTTGGGTTCAGAGCCAGGCAAAGGACATTTTATTGGATCATATTGCAGATTAGCTCAAGGCAGGGCCGCTGGATCCTCATCAACATTGGCTGGAGGGGAAGGGAAAGGATCAGGGCATTGGGTGGGGCAGGGGGTTGGGGAAATAGACCTGATCGAGGAACTATCTCCTGGCTGAGCAGACAACTCTCCTATGGACTGCATCTGAGACTTGTGATGGGTGCAGGCTTCATTCAGGCAGGTGTCACTCCCCATGGAAGCTAACTTGGCAGGTGAGTGCCATAGCACAATGTGATATGGTAGGAAATATCCAAAGCCAGATGGTCATTGCTGTTCTGGAGGGTCAGTTGGTTCACAGTAAGATTCCTACAGCCATTTGGAAGCAGAGAGATCAAGATCCCAAGGCTGGGGGTGGAGGGCTAGGAAGGGTGTCAGGGAGAACTGGCATGCTGGGCAGGCAAACTGGGGCCAGAGTGCAGTTGAACTTCATAAGTCAAGGAAGACCACATTCTTGTGGAATATTCTGCCTATAAGAATGGCCATAGACTAGGTCTGGGATTAACCCTACACTGCTGAATGCTTTTCAGCACAGTTTCCCACGGCAATCACAGTCATGACACATGGCACTCAAAACATCAATGATAATCCCAGGGGTTGTAGCCTCTTCTCCCTTTTCTAAGACCCAGCTCCAATGTTCCTTCCTCTGTAAAGCCTTCCTAAACCCCTTTCTTCACCATCACCAAACTAGTCCTTCCCCATTAGCTCTCACCTCTCTTCAGTATCAACACTTGTGTCTTCTCCAGATTGAGCTCAGAGGGAGCAGTGGGAGAGAGTCCTTCTTACATCTGTCTACCTCAACTTTGTATGATTTCCACTTTTTCCAAATAACTTGCCCAGTATTTCATCACAACAAGTGGCGGAGATGGATTTGAGTTCAAGTCAGTTCAAGGTGTTCCTTTCAGCACCTTGGCACTGGCTTAGGAGGAGAACAAAGCTGCCTTTGTGAGCCTAGACAGACCTATGATCAATTTCATGGCTGGAAGTAGAGTTCCCAGCTCCGCCCTCAGAAATACATCTCTGTTGGTGTATTATATACACTGGGATCAAAGAAGTTTGGATGAATTTGACTTCTGACAATCATCCTAACACCTTTATTCAGTCACAGCTGAACTATCTCTAATTGGCTGCCTAGCCTACAAATTTTTGCAAATCAGTTGTGTTTATGCCTAGTGAAACTGAAGAATTATTTTATAATCACACTCTCTGGAAAAAAAAAACTCAATGGAAATGTTTAATAAAAAAGAACGTGGTAGAAACACAATTTAAAGTCATGAATTGGAAAACATGTGGCAAAATTTTTATCCACGGAACTCTACAGTAGTCTGCGACCATATGTGGAGATTTATAGTATTAAATTAGATAAATGCTGGTTTTTCTGTTTGCAGAACACAACAGAAACCTAATTGAAAACCACACAGCAATATCATAAGACCAAATGTGATGTCTCTTCAAGGTCAAAATGCACGTGCAATGCAAAGAAAATCCTTTGCTTTGTCCTTGAACAAAAAGACCTCTCTGTTAATATTTGTATCAAGTATTGCATGTTTCTAAGAAAGTAAACATAATCATCCACTGTAAGTCTAACTTATATTCAAAAATGATGATAGAGACAAATGTGTAATGTACAAGGTTAGCCTAACTTTGCTTATATTCTGTTGTTTGAATGTTGTTCTGTGCATAGATTTACAAGTCTGTGTTCAGTCCCTTAAAAATACCAGTCACTGATTTTTCCACAGAATTATGAAGATGAGTGCAGAAAAATTGCTTCATTCAAGAAAAGAGCATATCAACTTATTGTGGTCTGGAAATGAGAAGCTGGCTAAGGGTGACCTCCTGGGGTCCTGTGGAGTGAAGAACCACATCCGTATTTTGGAGTCCTGTTCCCAAGGAAATGTTTATGGAGGCCCGAAAGGCAAATTGTCAAGGGCAAGGGGAGCTGGGAGGCCCAGGTTCTGCTCTTGGCTCTGCCCCAGCAGGTTTACAGTCGCTGAAAGCCATTTCAGGGTTAGGTGCTGTTTAATAGTCACCAGGTTGCTCCAGCCCCAGCTGAACCCCTATCCCTAGAACTCATTCTTGTGCTGTTTTGTACTGATGTAATTTATGAGGTAATTGTTGGTTAGCTCATGTAATTAAGTTTTCGTACATTAATATTCCTATCTCCCCAAATATATAATGAATCTCTCAGGGATTTCTTTTACCGCATAGAGGCAGTGTGGAGCAGTGGTGAAAGTACACGCTCTGCTGCCAGGCAACTGGGCCAATCCTACTCAATACTGAATGTCCCTGTTTCCTCACTTATAGAACAAGGTTGCAGATTCAATGAGTTGGTATATATAAAGTGCTTAGAATGGTCCTGGCATAGGCTAAACACTATATTATGTAGTGATATACCTAGTACGTATGTTGCTCCAGCGTGCTTTTATGATCTCTTTATGACCTGCAAAATACTTGGTGCAGTGCCTGGTACGGGACAGTTCTGTAGTTTTCCTGTTTGTTTTCTTTTACCTTTCCTTCCTTTCCCTTCAGCAAATATTTGTTAGGCAAATAAGATATATATTGGTTTAAATGGAGATGCTCATTTTAATGGCAATGTTGGGTGATTGAACTAACTATATCCATTAGTTAGTTCTTCTCCAGATCTACCCTCTATGCTCCCTGCTTTGCTATGTGGGGAGAAGCTGACATGAATGGATCACATCACCTGCCTTCCTTGCTCTCTGGCTTTTAGCTAGTGGAAGGCATCAGAAGGTGATGGGGGTGACTGGGGTATTTATTCCAGTCATCCCTGCTTTGACACAGCATCTAGGATAGAGTTGTGTCCTTCCTGGACTACAGCTCTGGTTGGGTGGCTCCTCTTTGTTTCTTGCTTTCACTGAACTCTGGTCACTATTTTTTTCCTTTTTTTCTGTAAGCTCTAGGGAAAGTAAAGAATTTTTGCTGTTGCTGGTTGCTGGGGATATCCACTGTTTTCCCTTAACTCTGTCCGCAACTCTGTAAGTATTCCCTTTATTCCAGTTTCCTTAGCTGAACCATCAGAAGTGAATTTTCTTTAGTGCTAAGATCTTAACTGATACATCATATATCCTTGGAAATGTCCTTGTAGATCTCCATGGGAGTTGATCAGACTATCTCCAAGGTCCCTTTGGAGAGCTTATAGAACTAGCATTAGAATTCAGAGTAACCTTGATAAACTGCAGAGGCTTTCAGATACAAACAAGATGAATTTCAATTAAGAACAAGTGTAGAGAAGCACATTTGGGAGGAAAAATAAATGATTGAAATGTCAGGTGATAAATGCCTGGCTGTGTGTGAGTACATCAGCAAAAAGACTCAGGGATGAGTAAGCAGTACATGATGCTGCTCAAATTGAGTAAATCTGGGGTATATACACAGTGCATGATTTGTAGGAAGTGCAAGGCAATCCCCCAGAGTACCTTGTCACTGTACAAATCAGACCTGGGTGCTGTGATTTGATTTGGCTCAGTAACTTAAAAGAGAAACTTAAGAGAATAGAGACTCAAAGGCATATTGGAGATGGAAAATGGCTTATACAAAAGTTAATTTCTTTTTTCTTCTTTCCTCCCTTTGTTAAAAGCCTGTAGGTAAAGAATTAGGGTGCAGTCCTCATTCATATGAAGGAACATCTCAAGTCCCTGTGCCCTGGATATGAACTATGTTGAACAAGTTGCAGCTTGGCTAATTTATGAGTATAACCTTAGACATAGATTGCAATGGTCAGGGATTTGTGCGTCATTAATGGGTTTGTCAGTGGTGATGGTAGGATCTTGAAACAGTTTTTCACACTGCCCATTTTTTCAACTGTAACAGACTGGACACTGAACAGTGACTGGCAAAGAGTAGGTTTTCAATGAATATCTCTAGTGGAATGAGTACCTGACCGAATACGAAAAAGGAGCTAAGCCGTTGAATGAATCTAACATCAGTATTAAAGAGAAACCCTCAAACATTTGGAGAGAATTGGAGGTAAGAACCTGCAACCTTCTTTTTTTTTAAAGATTTTATTTATTTTTTAATGAGAGACACAGAGAGAGAGAGGCAGAAACATAGGCAAAGGGAGAAGCAGGCTCTATGCAGGGAGCCCGACGTGGGACTCGATCCTCAAACTGGGATCCTGCCCTGAGCCAAAGGCAGATGCTCAACCACTGAGCCACCCAGGCGTCCCAACCTGCAACCTTCTACCCAGGAAATGATATAAGAATAAGTTGTATTCTGGAATTCTGCATTTTTAAAGAACAAGCCTCAAGTACAAAATTACATTAACAGATTCCTCAAGTGTCTGCAAGCAGACCTGTCTTATGGCACATGCCAGAGGAGGGGTTATGTAGAGCCGGGCGTGGGCAGAAACCTACATGCCTCCTTGGTGGATGACTTGGGGAGGAGTATGTCACTCACAGAGGGACAACCTAGGGCAGTGTCTAGGTGTTTCCCAAATGCTGGTTTCAAAGGAAGATATTCAGCTATTTTAGAGGATCCCTTGAATAGATTTGCTTTATATTTTGATGTTAAACTCTTTCAGTCCTTTTGGGTGGTAAAGGCCTGAATATAGTGCTTAGTCCTAAAGCATGTCTTTTAAATTGCTATCTTGGTTTCATGATTGGTTCAAAAGGTGAAATTGCAAAGGTAACAGCATCTAGGGAGGAAATACTGCTAAGTAACAAAGACAACTAGCTCTGAGTCCCAGAACCCCAGCACTAATTAGCTGCCAGTTTCATACAACTCATTTAACTTCTCCAGGTGTGAATTTTCTCAATATTGCCCATTTGAGGAATACATCTGTTCTGAAAGCATTTTTATATACATTGCTGAAATGTAGTAGTGAAGGAAATGGTAGTTCCTTTGACCATCATAACTGCTCTAAGAAGTAGGTAGTGTCAGACTGGTCATGACTTATTTAGACAGGAAGGACAAGGTTTAGGGATGTTAATTAACTTAGTTTAGCAACAGAGCCATATTAGGCCTAGACCTTCTTCTGGAATGTTTTTGTTGTTCAATCTGTTTTCAGCTTTATTTTATGGTAGTACTATTCCTGTGATATATTTGCAAAAGAATGTAAATGTTAATATGTTGTCTGGTAAGGTTTAAAACAAGTAAAATGTAGTAAACACAGGTTATAATCACAGTATCTTCTTGCTAGAATGTTAATTTTTATTATTGAATGAAAGGAAAGTCATGTGATTTTTAAAGTAATGTCTTCTTTCCCCCTTCTTCCCCACCTCTAAACCTCAGAGCTGTGCTTTCTGGAAAGAACTCAATACATAAGCTCCACAACACATTAGGCTCTCAACAAATTAGACCGCACACTTGGAACAGTAAGAATGGGTTTGGTGAGGTGTGCTCATCAAGAGAGGAAAGGAGCACAATTCATTTCTGAATTGGTTATCGAATTCTTCTTGTAAGTGACACGATTGAAACTGCCAATTGGCTTTGCAACCTGCTGAGTCCATATTTCTACATCTGTGAAAGCTCAGCAAATGAGCTCTTCTCAGCAAAGCAAGAGGGTTTCACCAGCAAGAAATTTGATGAGGTGTTGCACCCTGTGGCCAACCATTTCTCAAGAGACCTCTTTCTGTTTCACCCTAATGAATTCCTTTATGATTGACAGGCAGCTTTACTCATTACTTAGATTTTCCTTCATGTTATCTCCTTAGCAAATCTGGTCACCACAATACTTTTTAAAAACACAGTCACATTACTATTGTGGAATCATTCAACACTAGGGCCTGAAGTCATTCAGCTAAAGTCCCTTCTCTCATTCTGTTTTCCTATGTTGAACCTTTATCAGGTGAACCCAACCATCCTCTACATTTCTGTTGAAATAATCCATCAGGAAGTTCACTTAGTGCTGTTCATAATCTTAGGCTCCCTACACTACAAAATGATGACTTCAATGAAAAGATGTTCTACTAAAAACTATGATAACAAAGATATTGATTTCCTTTGAGCAGGAAGATTAGTCTTGTCATTTTTAGCATTTGGAGATGAACAGAACCATTATTCTGTATTCCATAAAGGTAAGGCATTATGCAAAGGTCTATCAATGTTTCAGTAATAAAGAATAGGAGCTCATCCACTTAGACTCAGTTTTGGGGTAGTCTTTTACTCTTCTGGTAACTACATCTTTCATAAAGATGTTCTGAGGAATAAAATGTATTTAATAGTTGTGTAGAGGGCAAAGAATATCAAGAAAAAAATGTTATATGCTTAATTTTTTGGTTGTCTGGGTGTTTTCCTTCCTTCCAGACATTAAAAGTCTGTTTCAAAGACACACTTCTAATAACAGAACAGCTACAGCTACATGAATAAACACATTGTCCATCTAAGAAAACACCATTCAGACTGCTGAAAACAGAGCCAAGTTAAACAATAGGTGCATAGAACCAATAGAGTGGCATTTTGCCACTTAATGAATTACAAGAAACAGATGTGAGGTTTTTTTTTTTAAAGGGATTCATAGCTTGAACTTGGCCCATTTGTCAAGAATTAGCAAAAGGATTTCAGATTCAGGATTCAGAGAAAAGTCATGGATTCATTTGTGTGTGCACGTGCATTTGATGATCCATCATATGGTTTGATGGCTTTTCTCATTCAAAGATCCATGTATAATTGGAGATACTTCATGCTTTTGCTAGGCTAGGGTTGGGAAAATGAGGAATTTGTTTGGTACCACTTATTGTCACCATATTATCCATAATATTATTAACCACATATAGAATTTACTGGTCATCTTCTTACAACATAGTAGGGTGGGAGTCTGTTGGTCCTAACAATAATTTCTAACTGGGAATTATAGTCTCCTTGCCATAAAAATCTACTGCTATCATAACCCCTGGTAGTCTGTTTAGCTTTAAGTCTCAGTATAAGAGAAGAAGGTAGAGAGAGAAGGGAAGAGATGAGCACGGGTTCGTTTTACTGAGATTTAGCCATGCATTGAGATTTCCTGGAACAGCTTCTACCAGCAAAGCTATACTTGAAAAGTCTTCAGCCACCTTCTCATTGATTATGCATCTAGTCGAAGAGCCTCAAATGGTCTCTGTCCAGCTGCAGAGTCAGCATTTTCTCTTGTTGCTGGTAGATTGGCAGATAGGACTTTCTCAGACTGAGAATGGGGGGATGACTTCTGGGTCAATGGGGGTAAGCTTACATTCAATTGTTATACCTATGAGTTTCCTGTTGACAAAGAAACAGTAAGTGAAATGGTGATCATAAAGGCTGCTCTGTCCAAGAAACTTCAGGGAAAATGATGGTGAACTCATAACACTAAGAGAAGACTGACAAAGAACATGTAATTAACCTACAGGTTCTAGAGCAATCATGATTATATCCATTGAAAATGGCATTTCTGGGCAGCCCAGGTGGCTCAGCGGTTTAGTGCCGCCTTCAGCCCAGGGCATGATCCTGGAGACCAGGGATCGAGTCCCACATCGGGCTCCCTGCATGGAGCCTACTTCTCCCTGTGCCTGTGTCTCTGCCTCTCTCTCTCTCTCTGTTTCTCTCATGAATAAATAAAGAAAATCTTAAAAAAAAAAAAAGGAAAATGGCATTTCTGTAATACTGGTGAGTGATATTTTTGTATTTGTGTGTGTTTAAGAAAAACCCATGAGTCTTCAGGGATAAAGATTTACAAATATTTAGTACTAGCTATGAACCAAAATGGTTTTAAATACTTAACATTGAATTATTTAATTTTCATATGATGAGGTAGGAACTACTATTACCTTCACTTGTAAGATAAGAATTGGAGCAGTGGCATCACAGAGACACCTAAGATCTGTGTGATTGCGTGGGCATTAAGGGAAAAGGGACTATTTCAGAGACAGGGGCAACTAATTTCAAATGACCTAACTAAGCTTGTGGAAGAGAATCTACACTAGGTAGTCTGAGGGCATTCCTATCCTTGTCCCAAAGTCAGAACCTATTTCTGATTTGTTAGATAAACTTGGATCCGTGACTTCTTTTCTTGTTGCTGTCTTTGAAATTTAGAGGCAGGAGGTTCTTGTTGGTCATTTAGCTTCTGCACAGCTTTTTCTTTGCATTCTTCTAGGAGTGGAGTGGATAGTCAAAACTGATTGCACTGCTTCATTCTTTTTGCTTTGGGTTTAATGTACACAGAAACCAGTAAAATCATCTGTGCAGGGAGCTAAATACAGCTAGGACTTAAAACTTCAGTAAGAAAGACAACCTCATTAGGATTGATACTGAACTAAGACCTAGCATCACAACCCTGCCATTTGTGACTGAGTATTAAAATCATGTCCCTTTCCTCTTTTCTTTCTTTATACTTCATGTTCCAAGCCCCATTAAAAACATGTATTCTAGGGAACCCTGGGTGGCACAGCGGTTTGACGCCTGCCTTTGGCCCAGGGCGCGATCCTGGAGACCCGGGATCGAATCCCACGTCAGGCTCCCGGTGCATGGAGCCTGCTTCTGTCTCTGCCCCCCTCTCTCTCTCTGTATGACATTTAAAAAAATTAAAAAAACACACACACATGTATTCTAAAATAAAGAAAGCAAAAAAACAGAATTTGTGAGTAGTGAGTTGGTTCTTTGAGGCAGTGACTGTTAAATATTTGAAATGTGAAATCATGTCACTTTCAGATAAGAAGAGATGTAGAAGCTGTCGTTTGAAAGTGTGTCTTAGCCAGGAGAAGAGAACCCTCTGCAGCAACAGACAATCCAAACGGCTGCCATTCAGAAGGTGTCTGGTGCCTTTCCTAGGGTTTATCCTGAACTTCCAGTAGGGAGGTGGTTATTATTCAGCTATTGTTTAAAATACAACAATAATTGTATAAAAAAGGAGAAACTCAGGAGTACTTTTATCAATATGAACTATAATGCAAAAAATAATGAAGACCTAGTACTCTTGAAAAGCAATTTTCAAATTCGGTTAACACCTGGGCATGCCTTGTTATAACACAGCTACCAAGGGTGAACTTCTCATTTCAAAACACAGCATCCCAGATTTC